ACCGCCAGTCACGTACAATTAGGAGAACTCAGTCGGGATCTTACCACGTTTTATTTAATTTTATTGAGTTCCCAATCTTTTGTTGGGCTCAGGTCCCAATCAGAGCAACATTATATCCCAAGAACGACATGATCCCATTACTTACATAACAACCCTTCTCTTCATTTATTGCTGGGGTACTCGTGTAGGATGAAAGGATGACCCTGATGGTATCTACAGTTGATTTGCGTGAAGGTCATTTGGCATAGTATAAATAAATATGAATAGAAAAATTCTTTATTCTTCAAATAAACTTAGATTTAAGCACTTTGGAATAGTCATATATTTTTGTAAATCTACCACAAAGCTCTCTCTACACAAAGAATAAGAGAATTTTGTTTATTCTTTTCGAAATTTGCAAATATACATTGGATCTCGCACTAGGCGTATCTATATCTCGGGAGTCCACAAAAGAATTGCCAGATGATAGTAATTATTATAGATTAGTGAGTAAAGTAGATTTTGACATATCATAAGAGTCTACAATAGAAACGTATAAAAATATTTCAATTTGATTTTATTTGAAAAATATTCGAGAACAATTCTATTATACTTTACATATTATTATATAAAGGCATTTAAAATTTAACATACTACTAAATAACAAACTTGTGTTGCTCAATTAAATGAATGTTGTTACTTTATATATATTATTATTGCTAGTCTTTTTTCCTAAAACTGTATTTTATACTTTTTTATTTTACCTGCCACATATTATATATATAAATGGGAATGTTCTGTTATAGATCTGTCACAACAAGTCCGGTGAGATCAACCCGACCAAAATACAAGCTCTAGTGGAAGCATACGTGAAAAAGTTCAGGAAAAAACACAAACGAAACAATATAGCGGACGCTAATGTTATGTATAATACATAGTGTAGTGTAGTGTAGTGTAGTGTAAGAGGGGGCGCACCCCACTAATGTACTTGGAGATGATTTATCAGATTATTGTAATTATAATTTATGTATGAACAAATGTATTTTACTTGCAACATTTTATTTAAATTGACATTATTGATATTAAAATATAATTTTAGATTTTATTAAAATGATCACGTGGATTTAATTGATACCTAAGTACTATCTAGGAACTTGAGAAGTTTATAGTAATGGTGAGAACTCACATTTTTTTTTCATGGACGATAATGGAATGAACTGAAAAATAACCCCAGAATTATGTTTTTTTTGTTAGAGGATGATAATGTAATGGTGCATCCGTCTGCGCTAACGGTATACACTGGTGCCCAGTTAACCCATCGTGACAAATTCGCCAAGAATTTATCACGGTGGTTTCCAGGGGGAACCGCGTGGAGTCAACCTGACACGGTACATTGCCAGTAATGAGATCATCAGTCTATATTAGTAACAATGCCTTTTCCCCCCAGTGAGCACTCATTAGTCAAGATTTTCTGCGTCTTTCAAGTCAAGAGTGAATTGGCATTCTTTGGGCTTGCGTGTAACAGCTTATATCAGAGGATCCCAAACCAAATGGTATTTCCGAACTGATACGATATTGAAACCTTCAATAAAAGAGCTTATTCCTTTTTAAAAGGCCGACAACGGACTTGCAATTCTCCTGGTGTTGCGGGTGCTCATGGGCGGCGGTAATTACTTACCACCAAGTTTACTAAATAATTATAAAAAAAAAAATATTTTTATCAGTTGTCTACTACCCATAACACAAACTCTGCTTAGCTTGAGACTAGAAGATGTTGTGTGAATTGTCCTGAGATTAAATAAATTTATTGTGCAAAAAACAGCTACAAAATGGACTTAATTAAGTTTATATACCCAGTAGGTAATTCATTCATTCATAATTTAAGAGCTACGCTCTTGTCAGTGGAGCTCTTGCCACTTTCCGCGATCTTCCATCATGCTCTTTAATTCTTGATACGACACGACTCCCATTTTGTCCTCAATTTGTTTGATGTAGCTATTCCTTGGTCTTCCCCTCCCCCTCTTTCCTTCTATTTTCCCCTCAATAATAATTTTCATGAAATCATCGTGCCGTATCAAGTGCCCTAACATTTTTCACTAATACAAGTAATTTTTAAAAACTATTTAACACCAAGTTCATTGCAGTAGTATCTAAACTAGGTCAAGCTTGTATCTCGGTTACCATAGTCCTAATATGCAGTTACTAAACAATTTTTAAGCATTGAAAGCTACTAAGTTGCACTTTAATAAGTAAAGTCTGCCAATATATCGCCACTTGTGCTCAGGGAATAGTTTCCTTCGATTCTCCGTAACACCATTATTTATTGAGTTGTTTGGGCTATTGTCAGATGTGTAGCACCTGTAGCACTGCGACCTACATAGATCTATTGTGCTCGTCCTTTTTCGGATTCCCTACCTAGACCCGTTAGGGACAAGAATTGAAGGATATTTTTAGGAGCATTGGTTTTTATCTCATTAGGATAGAGTGTATTTCCAAATATTTTGTGTTTATGCATGAGTGGGCTGCAATCACATAGGATGTGTAGTTGCGTTTCCTCTGCAGTTTGGCAAATACTGCAGATTTTGCACAGCCGTAACACCATACTAACTGGAACGTGAAATAAACTGTCCGCCCAATGCCAAGCGACTGTGGCCAATAGAAATATACAATACCCATAGAAACCCTCATAGGTACAGATCAGAAGCGTAAAAATTTGTTTGGAGGCCCTTACGAAGGGTAAAGATTACTCACAAAAGAAAAAATTGCATAAAATTAGAAGAAATATTTATTCATCATAATTATCAGTCACTTTCTCCAAATTTTTTACAAACAATTCAAATATACACTCACCTTGCTTTTTTTTCGGCACTCATTTATTAAATCACTAGGTACTCGCCCCGGCTTCGCCCGTGTTTTATACATTGTTACATGTATTATACATATAAACCTTCCTCTCGAATTGCTATATTTAAATAAAACCGCATCAAAATCAGTTGCGTAGTTTTAAAGATTTAAGCATACATAAAGACGGACAGACAGAGACTTTGTTTTATGCTATGTAATGATTTAGCTTATGCCGGAAATAAGAATTACCTTTTTTTCTTTGTTAATGTGAAATAAGTCAAAATTGGGAAGTTAATTTTTGTTTACGCACATTGGGGGCTCCGTATAACCACAGATAACATAATATTACAAATATACGGCGCCTGGTTGACAAATGGCTCCTTTTACCATCGAATTTTGGTGTGACAGCAAATGTATAGTTGGTAAGTACGACAATCAAATGGAGCGGAGTTAATAAAATAACATTGAATAAAAAAATATTTTATTTAGCATAAAACAAAAAATTAAATTCAAGTAAATCTACATCGCGTTAAGGCATTACATTAGTCCCTATACAACTGGATGCTCTGGTTACATTTTGATATTGACGACCTCGGTGGTCTAGTGGTTTAGCATATCGTCTTATTTCCGATGGTAGCGGGTTCGATTCCTCGCACGGTGCAAACATTTATATTCATAAGTATAATTGTTTGTATCTAGGTGTTCTCGATGTATAATGTGTATGTATTTACGAAAAAAAAATATCTAGTACCCATAACACAAGCTTTAGCTAGCTTAAATTGGATCTAGACGGCGCTGTGTGAATTGTCCTTAGATTATTATTATTATTTTAGGTTTGCACAGCTTCATAGATCCTAGGTGTGATCATATCATTGCTACTATATCTGCCAATGAGATAGGTAACGCATATGCACATATAAAATGAGTAATCACCTACATTTACTTAAACATTGTCATGATAAAAACAATAGTGCTTTGTAGAATAAAATAAAAATGTTTAGTCACAGCAATTTCATGTTTTTGTTCAAAAAACAAATACAATTATAGGAGAATATCTAAATATTTCATGTACTAATGTTATGTACTGTAATACATATAAACACAACATATATATAAAATTCTCGTGTCACAATGTTAGTTACCATACTGCTTGACCGAGTTTTATGAAATTTTATATGGATACTCACTAGCTCAGAGAATCGGCAACTACTGCTCATACCCCTAAGTGATAAGGGTTACAATTTTCCTAAATTTTATTTTTATTTTTTTATAACGTGTTGAAAATACATACAAATATTTTCAACACATTATAAAAAATTAAAAACATCTTTTCACTTCCCAAATTTTCACTCTTCTATCATTGCTTATTTTTTAATAGTGATTTTAATTTATGTCAAACCAACGTTAACTCAACTAGTATATTTATTACGAACTACTCGCCCCGGCTTCGCCCGGGTATACATGTATTATATATATAAACCTTCCTCTAGAATCACTTAAAAACCGCTTCAGAATCCGTTGCGTAGGTTTGAAGATTTAAGCATACATAGGGACAGACAGCGACAGCGACTTTGTTTCAATGATGATGTATTACAGTACATTAGACATCTAGTGCACCTATCTAGTTCATACACTACTAGTAACTCTAGTGATTAAATCGTTAGCCTCACAAATTAGATTTCTTTGGCTTCACTGTTTACAATCAATATGTTAAAATTAATGTTACAAACCACGCTGTATGTTCGTCAAACACCTTTGATACAATATATAATGCTACGTTTACATTCAGCCGCTTCCCCTGCCACTCGCGCTGCGGGAAATATTGCCGGGCGACAACTGAGCGAGAGGGCTGAATGTAAAAACACGCTGCCACTCGCGCACGAAAAACCGACAATCGAGGGAGCGTCGGGCAGCGCGAGTGGCAGCGCCAATGGCATGGGAAGTGTTTCCACTCTCGCGCTGCTCACTTCCCTGCCCACTCGGGCTGAGTGTAAACTGAGTGGGCATAACATATCATTACAGATTACTAAATAATTTCGTAATGAACATATATAATTACCACTAATTAATATACCATATAATTAATTAATGACCACAAATGAATTATCGATTTTGACGGGCCTTTTTAAGTTAAACTCCACGCGGACGAAGTCGCGTACTAGCTTCATATAATTTTAATAAGGAATCCATTTTCGAAATGCCCCCTGAAGGTTGGGGCCCATATTGGGATTGATATATCTTGTATGGTAAGGGTGACTGTGTAACGTAGAGCGTGGTTACATGGTGTGAGGTTGTGTTCAGACTGCGGGCGCGAACCCGAGCCGCTTGTTGCCGACGTCGAACTCGGTGTAGTACTTTCCGATGAACACGTCTCCGAGGATCCACAACGGGCCGTTGGGCGGCGGGATGTCCAGCCCCATGAACCCTGACAGGCACACAGTCTTGCCGAACTGGGACACCTGCGGATGGTTACGATACAATTATAAATTATATACGCGGTAAACAAACAAATACAAAGACGGTCTGTTTGATTAGTTTAATAGTTAGGCGGACGCAGCCACCTCTGTAACTACTAATGGTATACGCACATTGCATATACAACATATACACTGTTACCTCCACGCGGTTCCCCCTGGAAACCATCGTCATAAATTCCAGATGAATTTATCACGATGGGCTAACTGACCTGACCTGATACTCATTTTATCATCTTCCACTGGTGCCCCGCCAGCCCGCCCGAGAACTGGCCAAGTCAGACCTTAGGCTACAGTATATTATCCCAAGTTATAAGAAGAAATGATATTATATATTGTTATAAATACATTTCAGGACAGACCATTGAACTTGGCACCCATTTAGATCTCACCTCTTTTGTCGTAGAAGTCAACAATCAAGGCATATATCATAATATTAAACTCGGCTATCATTTCACATTTATGTTTTTGATGGGATTATTATAATCGGACGAATATGTGAAAAAAAATGATAACAACTTTAAATCAATATAGAAATACTTGTGACGAGTGAAAATTGTATGATATGAAATGATCGGAAAATTTCATGTCATTGTCATTGTCGGTTCGATGACAGAAATGCTCTGGCTCTTTCGCTTGATTCGTTCATTGACCAGTTATTTCGGATTCGGTTACGGTTACGAATATTGTTTTATATCGGATATCCGATAGTTTCGGTTACGGTTACGGAGCTCCATAGCATCTCTGCATTATAGCGGACATATATCATCACACTGAGAGAGCTACACGTGTGTCATCGAGATCGAGCCGAGTAAGATCGCAATCTTAAAGACCTCATAAGGTTCGTACGTGTATCAAGTGAACATGTGATGGTGTACTCACTCTCAGCACATAATCAGCCCCGTTGAGTGTAAACTGATTCCCGGCGATGGTGAAGGAGACTGGCGGCAGGTGCGGGATCAGCGTGCAGTCCACGGCGAACTGGCCGAACGCGAGCGGAGTCGCGCCGATGGCCTTGTTCAGCGCCGCTATCTCCGACACCGGGCCGGCCACCAGGGAAGTACCAGTATCAGCGATAGCTTCACAACCCTGCGAGGACATTCACTTTTTTTTCGGACTGTAATGCTGTTGGCCGCAGCTGGCCTTTACAGCTTCATCGGACGATAGGGGGCGAGTGCAGATGGCACTCCAAACCAAGGAAGGACTTATGGAGCTGTTGAAGGCCAACTCTCGCCTAACGGATACGTCTTTAGTCTGAGGGCACCGCTAGGGTTCGAACCTCGGCTCGAGCCGTCATAATTTCGATCCCCATCCCCATGGTGCTCGTAATGACCAGTTTAATAGTATTATTTACTACTCGTATCCTATGGATCTATTTATTTATTTGCCAGTTTATCTGACATGCAAATTACAATATATATATTAAAAGTAGTATTATATAATATTAATTTTAATTATTATAGGACTATACTATTTTGAATGAGTGATAGTAAAAAAAATCATTTTCATCACAGGAATGAATGTGTAAGAATATTTGCATGTTGCTCTTTTGAATAAATGTTGTTCTAAGTAAATACACATTAAAAAGGATTAGGCATACGACAATCAACATAAAAATCGCTATGCACTCAATTTTTGTACAATCAGATAATATGTTCAGCGCTATGAATTTTAAGTTAGATTATTTCTACAAAAACATTATAATTTATAAATTCTTCAATTTCATAATAAACTTTCTAACAAAGAAAGTGTTTTATAAAACTTTTGAATCTTTTACCTGACGAATTTAGGACAGTTTGTTGTATGTATTATAAACTCAAAATTTTATAAGCTTTTTTATAAAGGGTTACCTTGGCACAGAGGGTGGCGCCCTTGACCTGCACACGGTCCATGGAGAACTGCCAGTAGGTGGGGCGGTGTACCGGCACGTAGGTGAAGTTCCCGCGGTAGTGCGCCGGGTCCGAGCCCCCGAGGATGATCTCGCCGCCCTGCGCCGCCTGCGGGTCCCTACACCATCCCACACACCATCGCTCAGGGGCCGTTCAAGTATTACGTAAGCAGATTTATTATAATTACTTAACTCCCCATCCCCTTATCAGCAAAAGTAAGCAAATTTCTTACCCCCATCCCTTGTTTACTTAAACATTTTTTAATTAATGTATTGTTTTTTTAGCAAAGAAACGTGAGGGTTGCCATTCGTGTAAAAAAGTAAATGACTGCCTATGACGTAATCATCATCAAGACTCCCCCACCCCCCATGTCATTCAAAATAAGCAAAATGAAAACCCCCTCCCCCCTATAGTGTGCTTACGTAATACTTGAACGGCCCCTCACTCAGAGTCTCATCACCACAATAACTATCATCATCAGCATCATTTCAGCACGGGAGATGTCCACTGCTGAACCAAGGTTCAGCTCCCCCATTGGGGGGTTATTGCCATAATCGCCACGCTTGCTATACGGGTTAGCGATCGTGTAGTCAGTGTGGTGGTAATTCCTCAGTAGAACACTGCGGCCCGTCCTTTGGTCGAGGAATCCCTCAAATGCTTTTTACGACAGCTACGGGAAGAGATGGGGTGTTGCTATTCTTATGGCGATACCATCATCTGCTTCTTCCTTATCCCTTTTATTTGTGGTCGTCGTAATATGTTTTTCTCTTCCATTCATCTCTGTTCGCAGTCATCTCGTTATTTACTTCCTTTCTTATCATATCATCTTTCACACAGTCCATCCATCTCTTTTTCGGCCTTCCTCTGCCCTTATAACCATCCACATTCATATGTAACACCTTTCTTAAAATATTATCCTCGTTCCTACGCATTACATATCCATGCCATGATAGACGATTGCTCTTCAACCTCTCTGACACCGGTGCCACTTTCATACTTCCTCTATTGTATTCATTCTTTATCTTATCCATTCTTGTCACACAGAGTTGTTTTTATTGTAGTCTGTATATATGTGGGATTATATATCTGTGCTGATCGATTATTATTGCAACATAGTATGATATATTTAAATTGGTTACGCTGATATTTCTAACCAAAGCTAGTGCCAAGTCTCACATCGTTGGCTTCTTACACAAGTGTAGATCATTGCCTTGCCTTTATTCCATTATTTGTGGTCGGCGCAGTATGTCATTCTCTTCCACTGCTCTCTATCGGTCTTCATATCTGAACATACTCTTCTTTTATTCATATCATCTTTCACACAATCCATCCATCTTTTCTTACGGCGTCTCCTCCCTTTACATCCATCCACATTAATATCATACACTTTCCATAATATAAGATCCTAGTTCCTGTGTGTATGTGAATATAAATACGGTACATACACCAAAATGTAATTTTTTAAAATTTTTATCTGTCTGTCTGTTTGTTCCGGCTAATCTGTGAAATAGCTGGACCTTTTTTGTCGGGACTTTTTTGGCAGGTAGTTGATGTAATAAGGAGTAACCTAGGCTACTTTTATTTTAGAAATTTAAAGTTAATCACGCGGACGAAGTCTCGAGTACAACTAGTAATAAAATAAATTCGTAAGTACAAGTAAATCTTCTCCACAATTCATCATCTTCACAAAGAAGTCAATAGAAGAACAAGGAACTCAGCGAGTTCATTTTGAATGTTTCTTATGCACTTGGTTACCTGTTGAGATAGAAGGAAAACACCGGCTTGACGAGTCCCTGAGACACCATGTTGTCAAACACCGGCGGCACCCCGTCCACGGAGATGCTGCAAAACCACGCAAAGTTGTACAACCAACCCATCATCATCATTACAGGACAATTCATAATGATATCTCAGGTCAATTCACAAGGCACCATTGAATTCAAATTAAAAAGTAATTTATTCATGTAGGACATTTTAGCCGCTTATGTATTGAGTATATTTGAATAAAGATTATTTCTATTTCAGATGCATCGTACCTGCTGAACAGAATTCTTCAATTTTATAGTAAGCTTTTTTGCAAAGGAAGTGTTTTATTTGACATTTAAATCTTTTTTCTGCCATGCCGAGGATGCCGTCGAACTTGGCTGCCACGAAGGCCAGGCCCGGCTCAGACATTGCTTCCGCGAAGGTCTGGTCCTTCACTGATATACCTCCCACCTGTTATGAACAACATAAAAAAGAAATTCAAAATATCTTTATTCATGTAGGTCTATTACAGACTCTTATGATATGTCAAATCTAACGTCAGTAGTAATAATTATATAATAATAATTTCGAGATGAGAATAACTGACAGGAAACTCAGCTCGTATTCTTTTCAAACAACTGTCGTACATGTTTATAATAATACATATTCATTTTTAAATTCAAATTTGGGAGAATAGAGTGACCACCTGCATATGCTATTGTAAAAGCAAATAGTCTAATCGGTGTTCGAATTAATTCATGTAATCGTTTAGTGAGTAATAAGCTTTGCTCAGTAAATATGATTTAACAGATGTGTTGAATTTATTAAGTTCAGTTCAGTATATAGATCCAATTGAGAAGAACTGGTAAGAAACTCAATTCTTCAGAAATTTGCAGGCCCTAGGCCTATATGGTCTATTTATAAATCCAGGAGTGTAGTGTACTCACTGTTAAATATTCTACGATTTATATGTTGATAAAAATAATAATAAGAGTTTATAATACCAATATAGCTGTATAGGATATTCCTTAGTGTGGATAAATTCATAAAAAAAGTAAAAAATATTTTGGCGCCAAAATGTCAAAATAAAATTTAAAAAATACATAATATTATAGAGACCACTAGCGAACTGTAGAGAAAAAATATATATCGTCATATTTATTACTGAAATACAGTTTTAAAAAGTTTTTTAAGTGATGTAATGGTTGGAAGTACCTACAGTACAAGTATTTAAGGCATCAAAATAAAGAAGTATATTGATTACAATTTTCATTGTTATTATAGAAAATTCCCTAATGAAACACTCACAGTAACTTCATCTGTGGAGAGGAACCCTGAGAGGCTGCCGGAGCCGTAGTGTATGGCGAATTCGGTGCCATTCTGGCGGTAAGTCGTTGACTTGCCGCTGTCGTACTTGTTGTGCAACACTGTAACAACACTCCATCACGTTATCACGCTATCACCAATGACAGGGAAGGGGATTGTTAGTAATGCGAAATGTTGACTGTTGCAAACTATTTTATACCTTTTTTATTATGTATGTTTTTTTTATAATATTACATTGTTTTTATATGACATAAGTCAATTTAATACAAAAATATTCTACAACTACAACGGTGCCGTTTTACTTTTTGCTCGTCATCTTGGTCTATATACTTCACATTTGGTCCTTCGAGCCGGATTTTTTTTTAATTATATGTCTTGAATAATATTTTTTTTTATTTCAGACAACTTAATAATAATATCTTAGGACAATTCACACAGCGCCATCTAGTCCAAAATTAAACAGAGCTTGTGTTATAGTTACTAAACCACTGATATCAATAAATAGTACATTTTATGTAAATACATACATGAGAAACACCCAGACAAACAATCATACTTGCGAACACAAATGTTTGTACTATATCGAGAGAAACAAGGCAATAAATGTAATAAATAATAATGCAAGGCGTATAAACATATTTTGCAAAATCGTCGTAGATTTCTCGAATATTCGTCGCTAGCTATGGAAGAGTGGAGCCTCTTGGCACAGACATCTTTATACTTAAATAGCCTTCAACAACTGTAGAATGTAGTTGTAAAATTGTGTTATCTAAGTAAAGAATTCAGATTTTTTTTAATTTGAATTCTTTCACGACAAGTATATGTCATAGTTTATTTCATCCATTGCACCCCCCGTCTCCTTCAAACGGAGATCAAAATTACGACAGCCCTCAGACTAAAGTCATATCCGTCAGGCGGGAGTTGGCCTTCAGCCGCTCCATAAACCTTCCGCGGGTTTGGAGTGCCATCTGCACTCGCCCTGAAGCTGTAAAGGCCAGCTCCGGCCGACAGCATTAGAGTAGACTAAAAAAAAGTGTGTGATACTGACGGCAGGCGATGTTGGTGTAGTGGCACTTCTTGGAGGGCACCCACAGGTTGGAGGAGCCTGTGTCGAAAACTACCTTGAACGACTGCGGCGGGTTGCCGATGGAGATCGGCCCGAAATACTGCGCCTGTACACAAACAAACAAACGTATTGCACATGTTATAGTAGATACCTAGAAAGTACTACGTCACATCCTCAACGGCGGGGGGAAGGGGATTGTTAGTAATGGGAACTAATAACCCCCATTACTAGCAATGTACCATGTTAGGTCGACCTCCACGCGGTTCCTCCTGGTAACCATCGTGATAAATTCCTAGTGAATTGTCACGATAAGCCAACTGACTTGACCTCATACATTATCTTATCATCCTCCACTGGTGCCCCGCCAGCGTAAGCCGTTTAGCTACTGTAAAAAATACTGTTTACTTTATTAATAACTAGCTGTTCCCGCGACTACGTCCGCGTCGAATTCACTTGATTTTTTGTAAAATAAAAGTAGCCTAAGTTACTCCTTATTACATCAGCTACCTGCCAAAAGTCCCGGTTAGCCGGAACAAACAGACATAAATTGTAATAAATGTTATTTTGGTGTATATACCGTATTTATATTGATATGCATGTAGTAAAAAACGTTTATTTCAATATTACAAACAGACACTCCAATTTTATTTATATGTGTAGCATATGCATATATTATGTCGTATCACACAGTATTTGTGGATCAGAACCTGCGACCTAACACTTAGTCCCTTTTGTTACAAACTATATTCAAATATATATTATCTTTTTTTACAATGTTTTATAAATAACTGAAAACTTATTGATGTCTTCAATTAAAACAATTCTTTTGTTCTTACATTTTGATTATGTTATTTAGAGTACATGTATTTTACTAACGACAAGCCCAAAGTGTTGTATATATCACACACATCAGTTATTGCTCAAAATTACACAACAAATTGCAATGATGTCACCATACCTACCAATTAAATCTATACATATAAATAAAATTGGAGTGTCTGTTTGTAACATTGAATATCCATGGATTTCGCATCCAGCCTATTCCTGCTTTTTTATGTCATCTGCCTATCTTTTTTTCTGCCGTCCTACTTTTCTTTTGTCTGTCGGGCCCGGCCATTTTGTCGTTACATTACTCCATCTCCTGTCTTTGTACCCCGGCCAGTTCCACTTTTGTTTCAAACTGAACTGGAGAGTATCTGTGAATTTCTTATCTAGAGATATTTTTTTTCCTATTAGATGTCTTGCAATCAGTCACATGGACTGTAAGCAGATGTGGTGTTCCGTATATAGCAGGTAGAGTGCCGCTCTCAGTAGAGCAGCTCCTCGCTCTTAAAAAGTCAGTCCTGTCTGACTATCTTGGTCAAATATATCACGCCTTTTCTTTAATCGACGCAAGTTTTCAGGTATTGTAAGTTGCGCAGCGAATTTATTTGGGTGCCTGTGTAGTCGTGATTTGTTGCTGTAGTCATTAATTAAACATCTAGAGATATAATAATACCACTAAAAATAAAATTAAGTAAAAAATTTTCGGCACTCAATGTCTATCGTAAAAATTACTTTTATTTGTATATTTATATGTTTTTATAACGACTGTTTGTTGCCAAAATAAAGAGAAAAAAAAAAAATACAAATAGAAATCTATGAACAATTGATGTTTGTGCCAATTTTTTTTATAATTGGTATTGAAGTACAATAATTGATTTATCATTTGATTCTTAGTGGAGTGAAGTCATTGACTACTTGAAGGATGTTTGCTGATAACCTAACATCAAATGTGGCTGCGTTATCAGACACTGTTTGTTTGTATCATGCCATTTCTTACATATCGTACGAGATACATTTAAAAGAAAAATATTACACAATGATAAAGGCGTTCCTACTTATTATAGTTATCACAAGTTGTTATATGTGCTTGTAAACAAGTTGAGTGTTGTGCTAGAACTTCACTATGAATCACATTATATATTTGTATTATACAATAAACATATTCTCATTCAAACACATAACAACATACTCAAAGCACACATTTATATAATATACTAGCTACACCCGCAACTTCGTCCGCATGGAATTTAACTTGATTTTCTAAAATAAAAGTAGTCTAAGTTACTCCTTATTACATCAGCTACCTACCAAAAAAAGTCCCGTCAAAATCGGTCCAGCCATTTCAGAGATTAGCCGGAAGAAGCAGGCAGACAACAATTGTAAAAAATGTTATTTTGGTGTATGTACCATATTTATATTCATATGCATGTAGTAAAAAACAGTTATTTCAATATAACAAACAGACACTCCAATTTTATGTATATGTACAGCTAACAGTAGACCTTCATACAAATGTACATACATGTAATATAATGTAATGTAGATTATTCTCTGCAATCATTTGGGCTGTTGTGCATGTAGAGCTGAAACTACTAAAGCAGCCGATGAAGCTCCTCTATGTACATACATCTAAGTAGTTGGAGAGAGGCTCGGGGGCTGGTCCTGAGACGGCGTACTTCATGCGGTACACATGGAGGTCAGTGTCCACCTCGCGGAGGTGGTCCCGCACTGTTTGTATGCGGTACAGTGGCACCCTGCATATGACACATTATATTATACAAGAGTTGCCAACCATCCTGTTTTCCCAGAACATGTCCTAGTTATTGCAGTGTCCTGGGAAGTCCTAAATAGTTATTTGGCAGCGTCCTGGGTTTTTAAAATATGCGTGCCTCTTAATTACTGATTTTCAACAGTATAATTTTATCAAATAATTTTTATTCAAAACCTGATTATATTAATTACTTGAATTTTACTACATATTAATATGACTATTGCAACACTATTACACAGGGTAAAAAAAAAAAAAAAAATACTCAAAGCACAAATTTATATAATATACTAGCTATACCCGACAAATATCGAACACCATAGAAAATAGATGAGGAAAAATGTTAGGGCACTTGATATGTACCATATTTATATTCATATGCATGATGATTTCATGAAAGTTATTATCGAGGGGAAAATAGAAGGAAAGAGGGGGAGGGGAAGACCAAGGAATAGCTACATCAAACAAATTGAGGACAAAATGGAAGTCGTGTCGTATCAAGAATTAAAGAGCATGATGGAAGATCGCGTTTTCCCAAAGTGGCAAGAGCTCCACCAAAACGGGTGTAGCTCTTAAATTATGAATGAATGAATTATTGCAACACTATTACTGTGTTCTATTTTTAAACTGGATAGTCCTGGTTTTATTAACTTTCAATTCTGGTTTTTTTAATTTGAGCTTGGCAACCCTACATTATACATACAAACATGATAATTAAAGCATAAATAATTGCTATATGACAGCATATAACATGAGATAAATTTCTCATATAAAATATACATACTCAGATAAATGCTACATCGCTGTTATATATATACTAGCTGTGCCCGCGGTTTCATTCGCAGGAAATTCATAACATATATGTTATTCTGATTAGCTATTATATTACTGTAAAGATTCATCAAAATTCGTTCAGTACTTTAAAATAGTGAAAGAGTAACAAACATCCATCCATACTCACAAACTTTCGCGTAATAATAATAAAATTAATACAATATTCGTTCGTCCGTATTCTCCTTGCTAGTTTTGTCGGCAATTGATCTATATAGTAATTTCGACTAATCTGATAGTTTTACTGAAATTCAAAATACATAAAGGCGCTACTGATGACCAGCTTCAATGATATACATATTTTAAAATATTTAAGTAGTACACCAACAAAAAGTAAGGAATAACATGATTATTACTGATGAAGTTATGCTCACCGAATAAATCCGGACACGCAAACAGCAGCCAGTGCCACGAAAAGTAACAATATTTTCCCCATCTTCACGCAATTTACCGGCGACTGAAACTAATAAACATCATTATATACACTGACTAAGCAACTAATTATTACGTAGGTATTTTTTACCAATATTTTCTGTATGCAATAAAATTTTGCTTAAATCATGTTTATATTATCGATACTTACGTTGGTCGACACGGTATATATCAAAAAACACAATGAACCAGCCGCAATGTGAAGAAGAAAATCAAATAGATCGTTAATAAAATAATATACGCACTCGAGAACGTCTCACCAAGGAGAATGCGAAGCAAAATGAATTTAAAAATTCAAATCAAAACCATTGAGAATTACTGTCAGATAGTATCTCTAGATTGTCATAACACGATCATGCTGTCATTCATAACCACAGATTATTTACATTTCGTGTGTGATCTGTGATAATGTACACTTATCTGTGGACGTCACAGACGCTCATAGCGTCGCCAGTTGGTAGTAACAAAAAAAATTGACAATTTGTAGTCGATAATAGACGCTTATTTTCCCGCTAAAATTCAAATTGCAGTCAACGCTGATTTGTATGGTAATTAAAGGACAGTCCGAATCTATTTAAATTTTGTTTTATGTATGAAACAAACATACATTAAATGCAGGGATATTTTATTTTTATTTATTAAGCTTTATTGTCCATATATTACAATTTTAATTAATATTTTAAGTTAGGACTCATTTATTTTCTTTATATACATGGTCCCATGTGGGTAAAAGCCTCGTCCAACTTGTTCCATTTTCCTCTTTACAGCCACACTCATCCAGTGTTCCCCGGCCACTTCTTTAATGTCATCAGATCATCTTTTTCTCTGTCGGTCCCAACTACTTGGTGAGTCCACCTTTTGTCTTTGTACCTAGCTACGTGACCTGCCCATTTCCATTTCTGACTTAGGCCATGTTGAAGTGCATCTTTTATTTTCGTCTTCTCGCTAATGGCTGTGTATTATGGATATGAATCCAGGGATATTATGGATATAAAATTACGGATCCGGATAGGTTTCGGATATAGGAATGATTTTTATATCGGATAAGAATATTATTTTTTAAGGAATTTCAAAAGAAATATACAAACAACTAATAAAATGGTTATATAACGTGTCTCAATTAGGCTTCGCCCCCTCAATTAGGCTTTTTTTTGAGAAATATTTTTAATTTGTAAAGATATACTGCTCCAAAGAATTTTCAACAGTATTGATTCATTAGTTTCGTATTTTAATATACAAAAAATAAATACTAGTTTCGTGGTGTGAAAAGTCCCTAGAATAGTTCGTATAAAGTGGCTATTTTCGACTATATCAACAGACAACGATGACTATGACCTTGTAATAAAAAAAAATGTAACCCAGCCGCGCATGTAAGCTTTTTTTGTAGTAACAAAATAATTATGATCTACATGTATATGAATTATAATTGAAAACTTTTGATACCACATCTTAAATCTATGTTTTAAACAAATTGTTAAGTAATGTATTTTTTCAACCATGTTTGCAAAAGAACCAGTGTTACCATAACATACTTATATTATAGAATAATAATACTGTAATACATGAAAATAAATCATTCAATTTATTTGGTTGGTGACACATAAGGATTGAAAACAATTATAAAGTGTTAGTAAATTACAAAGCATTTTCAAATCCAAACATCACCTAAAATATATATATTTAGACATAGACATTTTTAATAACGTATATATACCTGAATGAGTTATTAATAATAAGAAGTAACATGATTTTTAAAAATTTTGTAAATCAGATGAAAATATAGAAATTTCAGTATATATTATAATTTATGTACAATTTACACCATTTTGAGGAAATGGTTTAAATTCTTCTCAAGAAATTGGTTATTTTTCAACAATATTTATCTGTACATATATTATATATATTTAACTAATTAAGTATATTATAATCTATATTTACAATATGTACAACAACACACGTTTGTTTTTATATTACTCATATTAAATTTATCCATAGGGCGGTTTCCATCCTTTGTTGAACTTAAGAGGTCCCCTGTAAGCAACATCCAGGCTGTTATATTTGTCTGTTCATCAGTCATTTAGTAATAACTAAAGTCCAATAATTTTAGTGCACTAGTATAGTGCACATTGATTTGAACACATGACGATGACGGTGGTGACAGCTTTGTAACTAAATGGATATATAAAAATTTATTTATTAATATTAGGACTTCATAAGCCATACATTCTTAATTTCCACTCATAATCCAAATTGACCTGAAAGTAACTTAAAACTTTAAAGCACAAATATACAAATATATTGCTAGCGATATACCATGTCAGGATGACCTACACGAGGTTCCTCCTGGAAACTATCGTGATTTATTCTTGGTGAAATTTTCACGATGGGCTAACTGACCTGACCTCATGCTCATCTTATCATCTTCCATTGGTGCCCCGCCAGCGTAAACCGTAGGCGTAGGCGGGTACACCATTCCATTATCATCCATAAAAAAATATATATATACAAAGAATAATGATGGACTAACGCCACATGTCTGGAAGGATGTCTCCCAGTCGTATATAGAGTAAACAGAGATCAGTTAATAAATAATATGCTTACATAATTAATAATACAAATATCATATATATTAATATTGGACCATGAGCCAATTCTACAATGTAATGACGTCAGTATACTGTCAGTACTTAATTAAAGGTCATAAAGTAAAGTTTACAACACTAACATATGAAATTAAGGTCCGGCGATCGAATGGGCGATGTAACTTTGAACTGACGTACGCACATACTTTTTAAAAGTCAAACCACATCTAACTGCGCTGTTTCAAGGTTATTTGGTCACATCACTGGAAAAACAAACAGTTGATATAACCTTCAAACAGCGTAGTTTGATGTGGTTTGACTTAAAAAGTATGTATGTACGTCGGTTCAAAGTTACATCGCCCATTCGATCCCGACCTGTCAGAAACACAAACTCTGAGCGGCCGGACCGTACGGTACCGTATGTTTACTATGGTAATCCAATTTAATATTAAAATAATAAGATCAATATATTATATTAATAAATGTACCCTTTTAACGACATAGTTATATATTATTTATATAGAAAATTATCAAGTAATACCATTTGAAGTGAATAATTATACTGATATAATTCTTGATTTTTTGGTACACTTATATTATTAGCACTCAACGACGCAACGAAGTCCTCTCCACGTTTTGAACGCGGTGTGAACTGTCTATCGTATCTTCTTTACCAGTCAGGTATCACATAAAATTTATTAAATACATTATCATATTATTTTTAACCTATATTTACAAATACATTTTATACAATAATTTGTATATAGAAGTCGTATAAATAGTTTCTGGTGCGTGTTCAACTACACAAACTTTTTAAAAAGTCACGAGTCATTAGATATATTTTTTTAACATCAGTCGCCAGCGAGGTCACTGCTGTCGCACCAGAGTCCGTCTCACCGGGGCGGAGGCAGCGCCGCTGGTGCTGCAGAGGAGGAGGCAGCCACGTGGCCGTCGGCGGCGACGGCGGCGCAGTACTGCTGCGTGTCGGTGGACAGCAGCTGCAGCGAGAACGAGTTCAGCGACAGCGGGGGGCCTTGTATCACCTCCACGTTGCCTGCATTGGCCTGTGGGGATAGACTTATAGTTATATAGGAGACAAATATTTAATGACCCTATCAAAAACTGTTTATTATGTACAGACAACAATTATTTACGAAATTCATATAAATTTGTACACTACACTAGTTTTAAGTGGTCTGTTTGTAACTAAGCAAGGGATAATTATAGACTAAGGGATGAGGAAGTAAAGTCACGGTACGACGCATGCGTAGCGGGGGCTCCGATTGCAGTCTCGTGTAGCGTGCTCCAATCACAGTGTACGTATCCTCGGTCAGCACTCTTCTGCTGCGCTGGAGCATACGACGAGTAGCGTACACCGCCGGCCGCCGCAGGAGTAACGTACCATGAACAGCGCGGCGAGGAACAGGCCGGACACGTGGTGCGGGCCGCGTGCGGCGGCGGCCAGCAGCGCCGTGAAGGGGGCGCGCCCCCCGCAGGCCCGCAGCCGCCGCAGGAGTAACGTACCATGAACAGCGCGGCGAGGAACAGGCCGGACACGTGGTGCGGGCCGCGTGCGGCGGCGGCCAGCAGCGCCGTGAAGGGGGCGCGCCCCCCGCAGGCCCGCAGCCGCCGCAGGAGTAACGTACCATGAACAGCGCGGCGAGGAACAGGCCGGACACGTGGTGCGGGCCGCGTGCGGCGGCGGCCAGCAGCGCCGTGAAGGGGGCGCCCCCCCCGCAGGCCCGCAGCCGCCGCAGGAGTAACGTACCATGAACAGCGCGGCGAGGAACAGGCCGGACACGTGGTGCGGGCCGCGTGCGGCGGCGGCCAGCAGCGCCGTGAAGGGGGCGCGCCCCCCGCAGGCCCGCAGCCGCCGCAGGAGTAACGTACCATGAACAGCGCGGCGAGGAACAGGCCGGACACGTGGTGCGGGCCGCGTGCGGCGGCGGCCAGCAGCGCCGTGAAGGGGGCGCGCCCCCCGCAGGCCCGCAGCCGCCGCAGGAGTAACGTACCATGAACAGCGCGGCGAGGAACAGGCCGGACACGTGGTGCGGGCCGCGTGCGGCGGCGGCCAGCAGCGCCGTGAAGGGGGCGCGCCCCCCGCAGGCCCGCAGCCGCCGCAGGAGTAACGTACCATGAACAGCGCGGCGAGGAACAGGCCGGACACGTGGTGCGGGCCGCGTGCGGCGGCGGCCAGCAGCGCCGTGAAGGGGGCGCGCCCCCCGCAGGCCCGCAGCCGCCGCAGGAGTAACGTACCATGAACAGCGCGGCGAGGAACAGGCCGGACACGTGGTGCGGGCCGCGTGCGGCGGCGGCCAGCAGCGCCGTGAAGGGGGCGCGCCCCCCGCAGGCCCGCAGCCGCCGCAGGAGGCGCGCCCCCAGCCGCCGCACGTCGGGGGCGCGGGCCTCCCCCGCGGCCGCGCGCGCCACCACCGCCGCCTGCCACGACGACACCTCCGCTTCCGTCTCCGCATCCTGCGACCATATTTATCGGTTCCATTTAACGCATAATTTTATTATAAAATTCTCTTCAGCATTTCTTCTATAACAAATTAAAAGACGTTCGACGTCATAGCTTAGTTTTTTGTTGAGTCGACTCGGAGACCTCAGAAGTATCCATACGGAATAAGGCAATACTAAATTTTTGATGAAAAGTTTATTCACATCAAAAATTTCGCATTTCCTCATTCCGTAATTTCTAGAACATATAAGAAACAACTGATAGAAATTAAAAATACATCATTACAAATTTAAAATTACGCAACGGATATTGAAGCAATTTTTTTTTTAATAAATAGTGTTTCTAGAGGAAGATTTATATATATTATACACGTACACCCGTACGCAGTTGGGGCGAGTAGCTAGTAAATAATATACAAAAAAATTTAGAATTACATTAATAAATAAAAATGTTTAAAGAATGTAAGGAATCGAACTAGCAACAGTCGATGCTATATTGCGTTCAGGGATACCACTCTGACTATACAGGTCACCATATCTAAATTTCCAGTCGTAAGAGTATGTATGTAAAGAGAACACGTCTGACCTGCAGATCCGTGACGGCAGCAGCGTCGGCCGAGTCCGCGGAGGTGAGGGAGTGGTTGAGGGGCGCGTCGTCCCCGCGCGAGCCGTCCGAGTCCCCGAGGGAGCTCTGCTCGAAGAACCCGTCGTCGTCGCTGTCGTCCCGCGCCCCCGGCCCCGCCCCCGCCCCCTGCCCCGCCCCCTCGCGAGCCTGCCGCCCCTCCTCCGCGCTCCACCCCGTGAACCCTGCACAGAACACTCCGTCACTCGCACGGCCACAGACAAACATCAACGAACTAATCGACAGTCGATTGCTCACCCCCAACATCCGTGGAATCGAATCCGTGGAAATCTGAAACCATCACCATTGTTTAGCTAAATTTATTTATTACAGGAAAAACTGAAGCTGACTGTACACATGTTAAATCAATATAAAAACATACTAAGCCACTGAGAGACTTTCACAAATAACGATATAATAGAAAATCATTTATTCAAATAAACTTACGAAGCACTTTTGAATAGTCATTACATTTTTTTAATCTACCGCTCATTCGGAAAGCTGTCTCATCACAAGAAGAACGAGCGAGAAACTTGCGTGTTGCTCTTTTAAATAATTTTATTATTACTTTACATTTTTAAGTTTAAGTGTGTGAATACAAACCACCAATTAGCACTAATTCAATTAAATACTCAAATAGAAAAAATATTGAATATATAACCAACACCAATATATAACGACAGATTAATTCTAATCAATTTGACAACACATTATAAAATTAACAGAGAATATGAAATTAGGATAAGATATGTAATGCATAGGAATAATGATCATATCGTAAGGACGGACTAAAAAAGAGATGGATGGACTGTGTGAAAGATGATATGGTGAGAAAGGGAATAAATAAAGACATGACTGCGAACAGAGATGAATGGAAGCGAAAAACATATTACGACGACCACAAATAAATGGGATAAGGAAGAAGCGGATGATGATGATGATGATGTTAATGATGAAATTAAGATAAGAAAATGTTTACGTAAGCCTGGCCCGAGCAGATGAAAACCATCGCTCCTAAGAATATCCTTCAATTCTTGTCCCTGACGGGTCTAGGTAGCTAACTTTGAAAAAGGGCGAGCACAATAGATATATGTAGGTCGCAGTGCTACAGGTGCTGCAAACATCTGACAATCGGGGGGAAGGGGATTGTTAGTAATGTGGATTGATAACCCCATTGCTAGCAATGTACCTTGTCAGGTCGACCTCCACGCGGTTCCCCTGGAAACCATCGTGTTAAATTCCTGGTGAATTTGTCACGATGGGCTAACTGACCTGACCTCATGCCCATCTTATCACCCTCCACTGGTGCCCCGCCAGCGTAAACCGTTAGCGCAGGCGGGTGCACCATTCCATTATCATCCACTTAAAAAAAAACATCTGACAATCGCCCAAACAATCCAATAAAAAGCACAAAAGGAGCGTGCGTATGGGGCGTAAGAGCTTTGCTTACTTTTGCTGACAAGGGAGAGAGGGTAAATAATTGTAATAAATCTGCTTACGTAATACTTGAACGGCCTCTTATACAAATATATACGTATACACATTCTTCAATAATAATTATTTGATATTCAAAGAAGGAAATAGAAATAGAAATAATCTTTATTCAAATAAACTTAATATAAGCACTTTTGAATAGTCAAGTTTTTGATTCTACCGCTTATTCGGAATGCAGATTCATCACAAGAAGAATAAGCAAGAAACTTGTGTGTTGCTCTTTTAAATAAAGGGCTCACTTAGTTGGCCTCTCAATGAGTTAATATTATTAAAAAATAGATCTAAATTAATCATCATTGCCTTGCCTTTATGCCATTATTTGAGGTCGGCGCAGCATGTCATTCTCTTCCACTGCTCTCTATCGGTCGTCATATCTGAGCATACTCTTCTTTTATCACATCATCTTTCACACAATCCATCCATATTTCTTTAGGGAGTCCTCTCCCTTTACATCCATCCACGTTCATATAGATATAAATAAATGTAAGTAACATATGGACATGTTGCTCACCTTCGCTCGGAGGCCGGGGCTCGTGCATCTCGAGCCTCCTGCGGGCGCTGAGTACGTGTCGTTTGCGCATCTCCACAATATTTGCTATCCACTCGGGCGCCAGGCTGAACTCGCAGGCTGTGCGGAGGTGCCGCCGCAATTCTACCAACCATGAAAATTTACCATCATTATCCAGTGTGAAAGAAGCATTTAAAATCTAAAACAAAATCTAAGTACTAATTGTTAACAATGATTTTGAAATATCATAATAATAATATCTCAGGACAATTCACACAGGCATCTAGTCCCAAGCTAAGCAGAGCTTGTGTTATGGCTACTAGACAACTGATATAAATACATGGATACATTTTTTTTTATTGTAAATAAATACATATTATACATAGAGAACACCCAGAGCGATACAAATGATCATACTCATGAATACAAATGTTTGTACTGTGCGAGGAATCTAAACTAAACCTAAGCTAAACCACTAGACCACCGATCACAAGAAGAACGAACAAGAAACTTGTGTGTTGCACTTTTGAACAGATATTTTTTTAATTTAAATATAAATAATTACACAATAACAAGTAAGAGGCATGTGATAATCAACATAGAAACCACTACGCATTCATTTTTAGTGCAATCAGATAATATTGTCAGCATTGTGAATTGAAAGTTTTTCTACAAAAACATTATTATTGTTAACAAACTATTCAATTTTATAATATGCTTTTTTAAAGGAAGTGTCTTATATATGACATTTGATTTTTTTTTCAATAAAAGAAGCATCGTGTATAAGAAATAACAGAATCTTTAAGTACTAATTATTAATAATGATTTTGAAATATCATAATATGGGTATTGAGATTTCCTTGCAAAAAAAATGAAATAGCATATGATGCTGGTCAATATGTTCCATCTAATTTAATTTAAAAATGAATCTGTTATTGTATAATCTGTGTATTTATAATCATGTACAATCTTATTTGAAAAAAATTATAGCTGAGTTTCTTGTCAGTTGTTCTTAGTTCAAAACTAATCTGTATTGACGGTAAATTTGACATATCATAAAGGTCTATAACTTATATATATAACATTTTCTACAATTACATGTAGGTCTATTACAGACTCTTATGATATGTCAAATCTACTGTCAGTTCGGAATGATTTCGAGATGAGAAGAACTGACAAGAAACTCAGCTCGTGTTCTTTTCAAATAAATGTTGTACATGTTTACAGTAATGCAGATTCATTTTTAAATTCAAATTTGTTTTTTTTTATATATATATAATAACAAATAATATTAAATATAAGGCCAATTAAAGGTTTTCTCACAATTACAATATTCAGTGTTACAACACTAAAGTATTAACATATTATTGTTCTGTTTATCCACAAGTCTAATTTATACAATATGATGCTTATACCATCTAATTTATGCAAATTTTATTAGTTTCTTACTACGAAGTAATAACTTTGTAGCATTAGATTTAAATGTTACCTTTTTTAAGCTGAATATATCGATTTCACTAAAAACATCGTTATACAGCTTCGGTAGTCGTATTCGTGGCGCGTTCCTTGCGTAGTTGGTGTATGCTCTTTGTATGTGTAGTAATGGTGGAGTGTTGCGTTGTGAACGTTTAATTGGTACATTGTATGATATACATACTAAATCTGGACAATCGAGACGTTTTACTATATCATGTAATAAACAGATATCCGTCAGCTTACGTCTATCATCAAGTGTCAATATATTGTATTGTTTACAGTTATCCTTATAAACAGCTGAACTTGGGAGTATAGAGTGACCACTAGTATATGAGTAAAGATATTTATCGGTTTTATTATTTATATATGAAAATAAACAAGCACACGAACCTTTACTGAGATATAACTTGACAGGTCCGATGTCTTCAATTTTCGTTTCGCATTTCCTCTTGCGCTCCTTCTTCAGTTCGACGGGCGGCAGGTCCGGGCACGGGGGGTCGGCCGGCGGCGGGTCCACGGGCGGGGACTCCTCCGGGGGCAGCTCCGGCGGCGGGGGGTCCTCGGCGGGGGGCGCGGCGGCGGGCGGGGGGGCGCTGGGGGAGCGCGAGCGCGGCAGCGGGGTGGAGCACGGCGGCGGGGACGGCGGGGCGGCCGCGTCGATGGCGGCCTGCAACACACGCACGGACTATCAATATGACCATCATTTTCTTTATTCATTCAATCTATTATAGTGGCAATATATACAAATATTATATATTGTACATCCTTACTTCTTATTAATATTATAAATGCGATAATAACTCTATTTGTCTGTCTTGCGTTCATGCCAAAACTACTGAACCGATAAAAATTAAATATGGCATACAGATAGTCTAGATCTTGAGAAAGGATTATTCTTTAATGTGAAAAAAAAAGGTTGTAACCGGTTGAAAAATTGTATAAAATTATAGTCAGTTTCAAAGCTAGAAGCTTGAAATTTTGTTTTTAGGTTGTTCATTCATCATCATCGCAGCCCGGAAGACGTCCACTGTTGAACATAGGCCTCCCGTTCATTAAATGTAAATAAAAAAATGGTTGTGAAGGGTCGAAAGAGGAGATGAAAAATACGGAAGTATCTATAGTTTTAAAGCTAGAAGCTCGATACTTATTTTGTAGGCTGCTGATTAAATATTGGTAGGTATTGTTCGATCTTGTCAATTAAGAATTATTATATTCGATTACTAGTATACCCACTGACTGATGACTGTTATAAATGAAAAGATCCCACTCCCAGTGGGACGCGCTCACTAACCTGCAGATCGGCGAGGGGCGCGGGACGCAGCGAGGCGGCGGGGTGGCAGGGCTCCAGACAGGGCTCCAGGCCGTCCACCAGCAGGCCGCCGCGCAGCCGCCAGGCCGCGTGGAAGTCGGCCAGCAGCCCCACCGGCTCCCCGGCGTAGTCCACCAGCGGCACGTCCGCCGCCGCCAGCTGGCGCGGCTCCAGCTCCACGTAGACGCGCGGCAGCGTGGGCGGGGGGCGCAGCCCGGGCGGCGGGCGGCGGGCGCCCGGGGCCGCCTCCAGCGCCACGGGTTCGAACCCGCCACCCGCCTCCGCCGCGGACGCGCGCCGCCGCCGCTTGCCGCCGGGGGTGGCCGGCTCCTCGCCAGCGCCGCTAGGGCCACCGGTCGCCTCGCTGTCGTACAGACCAATTTAGGTGGACTTATAGTATAATTGTCTGATGTGTCGCGATGACTTGTTATGACATTTATATCACCGACTACTCGCCCCGGCTTCGCAGTGGTGTACATGTATTATATATATAAACCTTCCTCTTGAATCACTCTATCTACTAAAAAAAACCGCTTCAAAATCCATTGCATAGTTGTAAAGATTTAAGCATAACATTCTCAGTGCTATGAATTTAAAATTTTTCTATAAAAACATTATTATCGTTAACAAATTCTTCAATTTTATAGTAAGAGTTTTTGCAAAGGAACTGTTTTATTTGACATTTAAATCTTTTTTCTGGCAGATTTATAACAGACTCTGGTATTTTATTGTAAAAGCTTACGCAATTGCCATAAAACGAATTACTAACTTTAGCCAAACGACATTTAGGTAAAATTTCTATTAAGAAATGCTTATATTAAGTTTATTTGAATGAAGATTATTTATATTTATATTTAGAAATAAATTTTGAATACAAATAACTCACAGTGTACTGTTGTGTAAAGAGTCGCTAACGTTGAGCACGTGCTGGTAGAGGAAGTCGACCTTGCGTCCGTAGACGCTGGCCGAGTGCTGCAGCAGCAGCGCCAGCTCCACGAAGTTGGGCGCCACTGTGTCGTCCTCGGCGTGTTCTTCTTCACGCTCATCTCGCTCGCTCGCCTCTAGCGCGTGCAAGCCCGCCTCCGTCAGGTATTCCTCCAGCAACTAAAGACATTACTATCATCAATTCTTCTCCATCAGAGTAGAAGACGGCCACGGTAGTGTAGCGGTTAACACATTATCAGCGAGACAGGTATTTGTACCCGTTCCGAGGGTTGCCACTTATAAGGTACTAGCTTTTGCCCGCGGCTTCGCTCGCGTTAATTTATCCCCTTAGGGGTGGAATTTATTAAAATCCTTTCTTAGGGGATGCCTACGTCATAGTAGCTTTGTGCATGCAAACTCTCAGCCCGATAGGATTAAAATTGACAAAGTTTCATACAAACTTCATCCCCTATTTAATGCCTTTGGGGGTAGAATTAATCAAAATCCTATTTTAGCGGATGCCTACTTCATAACATCTACCTGCATGCCAAATTTCAGCCCGATCAGTCCAGTGGTTTGGGCTGTCCGTTGATAGATCACTATGTCAGTCAATTGAGTTATATACATATAGATTTATTATTCAGATATAAGTACTCTTTAGTTACTGTTACTTTTAGAAATAGACAACAAACTTATGACGTAGGCATCCGCTAAGAAAGGATTTTGATAAATTCAACCCCCAAAGGGATAAAATAGGGGATGAAAGTTTGTATGAAAGTATAGTACTTTCATACAAACTTTCATCAAAAAACTATAGCTTATAATAATACTTCTTAACGCGAGCGAAACCGCGGGCAAAAGCTAGTTTAATATATAACTCTTTTCTCTAGATGTAGCATCAACATTAGTAAGAATAAATGAACCAATATTAATTGTGTAACACATTTATTTCACACTGTAAATTCAGCATATACATTATGTAACCCAATACTATCCCTCATGTCATAGGAAACCTATAGGATCTAGTTACTAAATAACTCATGTAAGCATTTCAGAATATCAATTTATGAGAGACTTAATGTGATCCTAAAGTTTGAATCATTACATTGTATAAAACAAAATCACTGTTGCTGTCTCTCCGTCCCTATGTATGCTTAAACCTTTATAATTAAGCAACAGATTTTGAAGTGGTTTTTTTAATAGATAAAGTGATTCTAGGTTTATGCGTGCGCTGCCGGGGCGAGTAGCTAGTATATTATATTACTTCCATTTTATCTTCAGGATATCCTTCAAAATATCTTTATTCATGTAGGCCTATTACAGACTCTTATGATATGTCAAATCTACCGTCAGTTCGGAATGATTTCGAGATGAGAAGAACTGACAAGTAACTCAGCTCGTATTCTTTTCAAATAAATGTTGTACATGTTTACAATAATACAGATTCATTTAAATTCAAATTTGAGAGAATAGAGTGACCACCAGCATCTGCTATTGCTAAAGCAAATAGTGTAATCAGTGTTTGTAACCCGAACAGACCAGTCCCCACAAGCAGCACCCGTTCACGAGTATGACGGATAGAAGTTAGAAAGAGAAGAGAATCTTTACTCTATTCTAAAAATAAAGAATATTAGCTCTATTCTATCTAGGATTCAAACAAGAACCAGTTTCAATATTACTATACTATTGCTATACATATTATACAGGATATACAATTCTCTTTGAAACCTGCCAGCCTAGGTGGTCTAAAGGTTTAGCACACTGCTTTACGTCTTATGGTCACGGGTTCAATTCCTCGAATGGTGCAAACACTTATATTCATGAGTATGATTGTTTTGTATCAGTCTGTGTGTTTTCTATGTATTTAATTTATAATTATATGAGTTGTTGTTGAGCAACCAATTAGAAATTAATTTTCTTTTATCCTTGTTTATCTGTGATCAGCCAATTAGCTTTAATCTGACTAATTGCTTTCATTATCTGTCTCTTTGAATTTACACACATCCAGGAGCCTCCATGTATGTACATAAGGGATATAGACATGGAGGAACAAAATAGGATTCATGAATATTATTGCATTATTACTAATTCTTAATCTATACATATAAATAAAACTGGAGTGTCTGTTTGTAATATTGAAATAACAGTTCTTTATAGTATGTACCATATTTATATTCATGCATATGAATATAAATATGGTACATACACTAAAATAACATTTTTAATAATTTTTGTCTGTGTGTCTGACTGTTCTGGATAATATCTGAAATGGCTAGACCAATTTTGATGAGACTTATTTGGCAGGTAGGTGATGTAATAAGGAGTAATTAGGCTACTTTTATTTTAAAATATAAAGGTAAATTCTATGCAGACAAAGTCACAGGTACGGTATAATGTTATTTAATTATAAAACTTAAATATATTATTTGCAAACTAGTGTATATAGTATGATAAAGTTTTATATCATGACAATCTATTCATCAAATGTCATTGTACACTACATATACTAATGTATTTACCGATATATAAGTACCTATCTATGCAAATTCCATACATTATTTCCGTTCCTTTGAGATAAGTTGTGAACTCTATTGCTGAGACAATAGAGCTGTTAACTCACATAAATTAACAAAAGTTAAGATCAATGACCCTCCAATTACATACCAAGTTTTTCAGGCAAATTTGTTTTAACAGGTGCTCAGTGTTTTATTAAGGTTACAATAAATGTTTGACTTGAATATTAGGGAAATGAGAATCAAATTGGAATCTGTCTAAATTGCAATTTCAATACTGATATACCTATATGCAAACACTAATGAATTTTAAGGTGAAAACTGCATATCAATACTTGATACTTAAACTGTCATCATTGTATTATTCTAGGTGGTTAATAGGTCAATTGAATAATCTTAGTTCATAGTCAAGTGCTAGATTGCATGTTAATAATAGTAGAGCACACTAATGCAGAGACTAAGTACCTAAATGTTTGCTAAAGTCGCATAAATGTACTGTACAATGTAATATAGGCAGGCACTTATATCTATAATAATGATAAACAAATCATTCAAGATTAAAGGATTGAGCACTGAACAAGGTCGTTCAAATATAATGAGACGCTTACCGCGCTTAGGTCCGTGTCGAAGCTCCGGCGGACGTCGCTGATGGGCTTCATCAGCTCCGCCACTATTTCCTCGAGCCTCTGTGAATTCATGCTCCACCGTTTTTCTCTTTGTGACAAATCGTGAATCCTGAAAATAGCGTCCTATTGTTGATAACATAACTGAAAGAAGACGCGGGCACAACAGAAACATATAAAAATATATAGTGGCGCGAAAGTTTCTGTCAACGACCTCGTTTTGATTTGCGAAACGGTATTGCAAATAAAATATTATATTGCCTCCGTATATCCACTACCGAAATGCACGTATTTACCTCCGCCTTCCTATGTAGTCGGCGTCCATTTTACAAACATAAAATCTCGTGGTTATGATAAACGTAACAATAACGGTGGCCATTTATTTATGTTTTCGAGTGAGACATTCCATGTTCGCTGTCAAAACGATTTCTTGTTCGGCGTTCGTTGTTGTTCGCGATTGTGTAACTTCAGTCGACTAACAATTTTGTTAATTATGGCAATAATAATATTTATTGCCATATATAAATAAATATATTATTTTAAATATTATTAATTTGAGTTAATTTATGAGTGAAAAATAATATCCCTCATTTACAATTTACAAAAGACAGACTTTTGAAAGCAATTGTGTATCTGTAGTGTAACTCTTCAGTATTACTCGTACATACCACAGAGTAAAATTTTCAGCACTGAACATTTTCCATTTATTTTAATTTTATCATTGATTTTAAAATAAGTTCAAACCATTTGATATATTTAAAATGCAATAAATGACATTTATACGATACATATGCTATTTATATTTAGTAATCGAAATTTTGCGTCGTCAGTTATCTCGCTTGCTCTTCAAACAAAGTTGACATTAGGGGGCGTAGATTTAAAGCGTTTAGCGGTAATTTGGATTTTATACATTTTTGGTAGATTTTCCTAAAAAACATGTAAATTAAGTAAATGTTTAAAGAATTCAATTTTTAATAATTTTTATTTCTTCTTTATAAAACAAGAATTTGATTTGACATTTTGATTGACAAAGAAATATAACATATTATTTTCTAGATTTCTTTGAAATATGTAGTTAACATTCAGACTGAAATATTTTGACCAAATAGTTAGAAAAAAAATTAATTTTTATTCGATAATTATCAAATAATATATTTAATATTATGGATATTTAATTAAAAAACAAAAATACTGTACCGATTTCTAATTCATCCATGAATGTAGGAGTAAGCAGTATGGCCCGTGTTCTTTGCCTGACCTAATTGTATGAATATAAAACAATAGCAATTAACGAAAAAAAAAAACTTATTTTTACTCGCATTCGCGACTGGACTGATTTGTTTACAATTTGCAAATGAAATACTAACTAAAAACAGTGGTAAGAACGCGGATTGAATGAATATACACAGTTCGTGAAGAATATACACAGTTCTGGATGCTACACAGATTTTTGATAAGATTTCGTAACCGTACTGGACCAGTAGTTACCCAGTTTCTTTGCAGTCATGGGCATGTCGCGGTGTTACTCTTTGATGAAATGTTTACTCGTCCTATTTAACATTATATTTTTGGTAAGTTTTGACTTTTGCTGTTTATGTAGTATATAGGTTTATTTACAAAATCTTTTATGTATGTTATAAAATAGGGCTCCCATTCATTGACCAAATTGAGTGATCGACATTAACGAAAACTGACGTCCACCTAGAATATACATCGAACTTGAAATTTAATGAGAGCCAGACAGAATATACTAACATAATAAGACTTCTTTTGTAAAATCTGCTTATTCAAATTTGTTATTCCTATAATACTGTATGTGCTAAAATCGGGGTAATAAGCTTCCAACTGGGTTAATGAACTGTTTTCACATAACTATTTATTTTGTTTAACCTAATGTGTTTAACTGGCCTCATATGTGGACCTAATTATATTTTACAAATTATTTATATTATATAAATAAATAGAAGTTTTATGAAAAAGTTAGATATTAGACTATTTTAAAGGGTAATTGAATGTATTTATATGTTTTAATTTTTAATTTAGAAGACATCTTTACTATTGTTAATTGACAACAACTAATCTTTCGCAACCTTATTATGTTCAGGGTACATAGAGACCGATATAGAGAAATTTCAGTTGTATGTCACAGTCAAATCAAAACAACATACAAGTTTCTCGCTCATTTTTTTTGTGATGAGTCTGCATACGGAAAGAGTGGTAGAATAAAAAATGTTACTATTCAAAAGTGTTTATATTTTTATTTTATAAAATCCAATGTTTATTTGATATTTATTGAGCGGAGCGGTGACATAGTTTCTTTTTTGATGGTCGATAATGGCGATGATAATGGTGGGGCACCAGTGGAGGATGACAAGATGAACATGAGGTCAGGTCAGTTTGCCCATCGTGATTAATTGTTGGCACCGAGTGTATGTGTGGTGGGCGTGCGCAGTGCGTGGGCAGCGCGGCGCTGGCGTTCGCGGGGTGGGCGCTGTGGGAGGGCGGCGCGGGCGAGGCGGCGGAGGCGCGGGCGGGGCTGCTGTCGCTGGCGGGCTGGGCGGCGGCGCTGGCGCTGGGCGCGGCGGCGGCGCTGGCGGGCTGCGCGCGCGGCTCGGCGGCGCTGCTGGCGGCGTCGTTCGCGCTGCTGGCGCTCAGCGCCGTGGCCGAGGCCGCCGCCGCCTGGTGGGGCGCCGCGCACCTGCCGCAGCTCCGCCGCGCGCTGCTGGCGCGGCTCGACCACTCGCTGCGGCACGACTACGGCCGCCTGCCCGCCCGCACGCACGCGCTCGACGCCATACAGCGCGGGGTGAGTACACAGTGCGCGCAGTACACGGCGCCACGGAATGAAAACGAGGGATGTTGCATTCATATTCAAATATTGTTTAAGTAAACATTACTTTCACTTTCTTTGAATCAAAGAAGTGCCACGGGAAAATTGGATGAATGTAGCTATGAATAGAGGATCATGGAACGAGTTGGAGGAGGCCCTTGCCCACATGGGACCATACATAAAGAAACCAAATTAGTCAAACATGAAATATAACTTTTAAAAATAGGAAATATATAGTAAATAAAACTTAAATAAATAAATAACTTTTACTGCATTATTTTAATGCATTTGTATTCTTGGGGTACAACTTCATGCCCATTTTTGTAGTATGGATTCCAAATACCATACCATTTCAACAGCCATAGCTTACACAACAAGCTCGTTTCAAAGTTGATTAAAGTTGGCTTCTTAAAAATATGATCATGTCATGTGTTCCATATCAGAAATTATTTACAAAAAAAGAAATAAATAATTTCAAATACTAGCTGTACATGCAACTTCGTCCGCGTGGAATTTAACTTTACTTTTCTAAAATAAAAGAAGTCCAGGTTAGTCCTTATTACATCAGCTACTTGCCAAAAAAAGTCCTGTACAAAATCGGTTCTGCCACTTCAAAGATTAGCCGGAACAATCAGACAGACAGACAAAACTTGTAAAAAATGTTATTTTGGTGTATGTACCGTATTTATATTCATATACATATAGTAAAAAATGGTTATTTCAATATTAAAAACAGACACTCCAATTTTATTTATATGTATAGATTAGTTGGAAGATAAAAAATTATAATAATGATTTCATATGAGGATTATGAGCCCTATCAATTGGCATATTTACTTTAAGGATATTTGAAAAAAATAATGCAATATCTCGTTTTCATTTTGAATCTGGTGATCAATGTTAACTTTGCTGTACATCCTTTGTCCAGATCTATAAATTCACTGTACTGTATACCTCTATTATATTATTATTAATTTCTAAGACAAGACAATAAAATTGCCATGATTATATACTGCAATAAAACTGACAAACAAAAAAACTAACAATTAGTCTTGCCATTCAGAGGGGGAATGCTGCCAGTATCTTCGGAACCTTGACTAAAGGGACACCTTTTAATAATCACTGTATTCTTAAGTTTAATCTCATTTGATATTTAATAACAAGTAAATTTGTATAAATAAAACATTTAATCACTTGGTAGTAGAAAGAACTCCAAAATGTTAGAGTTTTGTGTTTGTGAACTAGTAATATTCGCTTCAATGACTTAAGTATGTCATTTATAAAGGTAATTTGGACTCTTAAATCATCTAATATGTTTCTAGTATATATTTAAGAAATAAGGAAGTATGACGACCTCGGTGGTCTAGCGGTCTAGCACACCGCTTTACGACCGATGGTCGCGGGTTCGATTCCTCGCACGGCACAAACATTTGTATTCATGAGTATGACTGTTTGTATCGGTCTGGGTGTTTTCTATGTATAACATGTATGTATTTACGAAAAAAAATCTGTGTATATGTCTCAGTTATCTAGTACTCATAACATGAGCTGTAGCTAGCTTAACTTGGATCTAGATGGTGCTGTGTGAACTGCTCTGAGATTATTATTATTATTATGTGAAATTTATGTTTTGATTACTCTGTGGATTGTGAAACCGTCGGTAAAACCGGACTGACAGGAAATTATAATGGAATGTATATTAGCTTAATTGTCCTGTTACTGCAACTACAAATTGATAATATATTAAACATGTCTCTAATTATAGTAATGACCTCGTGATGAAACACTTTCACCTACAATACAATCGGTGAATCATTCGAATCGGCTACTGGAGAGTGTTTCATCACTGGAGATGAGATCTTAACGATCGACGTATGTTCCGCAGCTGGAGTGCTGCGGCGCGGAGAGTATACGCGACTGGGAGGACTCGGCGTGGTCGCGCGCGCTGGAGGCGGCCGGGGCGGGGGCGGGGGCTGCGGGCCCGGGCGAGGAGCCCCTGGCGGCGGCCCGCGGCGCCCTCGACCTGTCCGTGTCGGCGGCGGGCGCGCACTACTGGGTGCCGGCGTCGTGCTGCGCGGCCCCGTGCGCGGGCCCGGTGCGGGTGGTGTCGGGGGCGGGGGCGGGGGCGGCGGGGGGCGCGTGGCGGGCGGCGTGCGGGCCGCGCGTGGTGGCGGCCCTGGCGGCGGCGGCGCGGGCCCCGCTGTGCGCGGGCGGGGCGCTGCTGGCCGCGCACGCGCTGTCGCTGCTGCTGGCGCTCGCGCTCTGCCTGCGGGCCGACCCGCACCGCCGCTACAAGGCCTAGAGTTGTGTTGGGAACCCCGCCCGCAGACATCCCGAGACCTAACCCCATACCCCGCCTGCGTATTCCCCTCCGAGCGATCGCGTATCCGATTCCAACGGGCATAGTAATGACGACCTCAGCCGACGTTCGAATTCCAGGCGATGCCCTCGAACTAAGCGTATGCGTCAGCCCCTATCGGTGCCCTCAGACTGAAGTCATATTCGCCAGGCAGGAGTGAGCCTTCAGCCGCTCCATAAGTCCTTCCTCGCATTTGAAGTACCATCTGCACTCGAGCCCTATCGTTCGGTGAAGCTGTAAAGACCAGTTCAAAACCAAAAAAATCCCCTAACGCGGGTGGACCATACAAATTACAGCACGAAAATTAATAGTGTAAAACTATATTAAATGAATCTACAAAGTAACTTCGATGAATCTCTACAAAAATCTACATTTTTTAAATTTTATAACGACAAATATTCAACAGTATGTATGTTTGTGGAATGCATTTATTAGTAGTAAATATTTACAATTGGCGACTGTTCAACATGGATACTAACAACTAAATAGTCGCTAACGTAGTCACTAAGGCCGTAACCAAATGTGTGTTAGATGTAAGTTTATACTTCTATTTCTATTAATATTTTTGTATCGTTTCGACAAAATGTATCCAGCAGGTCTGAAAGACTCATCAAAACGGATAGTTTACCGATGCAACGGTTTCACTGTTAAATATTACAAAATACAGTAAATTAGCAACATGAGAAATTCAATTGTCAAGCATAGACATTTATTAGAGTTCCATTATAATTTGTTTCTCTTTGATCGACAGTAATAAACTGTGTAAATACTGTGGAGCCCCGGTTATTCGACAAACGTTTTGCAGGGCAGGGCAGTGTCGGACCATCGAATTTGTCGTATTATACAGTACTGCCTAAGCTCCCCTATAGTCCGGAATTTTTACAAAAGAGTACCTCGTAATCCGACAAATTACAGAAGCAGTGATAAGATTATATGATATATATGTATATGTATATACTCTTTAAAGTACAAATCATACTTCATTATGTATATCAACTACTAAAAGATTCGTTACGAATTAGGCGGTCTAAAATATCACATTTCTCTTTAATTGTCAGTGATTTGTGCTTTCGCTTCTGAACTGATACATAATACACAATAATAATTTGCCCCTCTGATCGATCCCCCGTCCAATTCAAACGGAGATCGATATTACAACGGCCTGAGCCGAGGTTCGAACCCCTAGTGGTGCCCTCAGACTAAAGTCGTATCCGTCAGGCAGGAGTTGGCCTTCAGCCGCTCCATAAGTCCTTGGTTTGGAGTGCCATCTGCACTTGCCTCCTAACGTCCGGTGAAGCTGTAAAGGCCAGCTGCGGCCAACAGCATTAGAGTAGTCCGAAAAAAAACAATGAATAAACAGCTGGAACCTAAGTGGTCTCGGACAGTGCGGTTTCAGAGGAGCTTGCTCCCGCGTACACTTACATTGTGGAATGAACTACCTGCCGAGGTTTTCTCGGGAGACTACAGCATGGGGTTTTTCAAGAAGGGTATATTAAGGTTTCTTAAGGGTCGGCAACGCGCACGTGACACCCCTGGTGTTTCAGGCGTCCATAGGCTACGGTAACCGTTTACCATCAGATGGGGCGTATGCTTGTTTGCCACCTACGTGGTATAAAAAAAACAGTAAACAATGAACAAATGTAAGTAGTCAAATTCGAACTAAGGGACCGTTCAAGTATTACGTAAGCAGATTTATTACAATTATTCACTCCCCATCCCCCTTGTCAGCAATAGTAAGCAAAGCTCTTACCCCTCCCGACATGCTTACGTAAACATTTCTTAATTAATGTATTGTTTTTTTAGCAAAGACAATGTGAGGGTTGCCATTCGTGTAAAAAAGTAAATTACGACCGATGACGTAATCATCATACAGACTTCCCCACCCCCATGTCATCCAAAATAAGCAAAGAAAAGAGCCCCCGCCCCCCTATAGTGCTTACGTAATACTTGAACGGCCCCTAAGCAATCATAATCAAAACAATACCCTACGCGTCGAGTACAACAGTGGTGATGCGTACAAGTTCAAATTTGTTCAATCATGTATTAGAGAAGATTGTCAAAAAAATATTCAATAATAAATAATAGACCATGTCGGATTACAAGGGGGGCCGGATTACCGCGGGTCCACTGTCATAGTGTAATAATCAATCAGAAATTCAACAAAATGCTATGGTAGAACAAAAGTTGTAGGCACCATTGAAAACTATACACTATGAAGCAAAACGCGAGAATGTCATAATTATAAATTAGGTGCCTATACAATTTCAACCACTATCTACGCCGTTTAATTTTGTTCTCAAACAATTATTGGCATCAATAGGAATCTATTTATTTACTAGCTTTTGCCCGCGGCTTCGCTCGCGTTAATTTATCCACTTAGTGGTGGGGTAGGTGGTAGTAGGTGGAATTTATCAGAAGTTTATCCTTTCTTAGGGGATGCCTATGTCATATATAAATTTTATTAATGTAGACAGAGCAATATATAAATGTAATATGTGTTCATTATTATTATTATTTTTAGTTAATATTACGTCTTTTTTATTTCTCTAGTCCATTGGCTACCTACTCCTTTGACTTCTCTCCTCTAAAGCTTGTCAGGAAGAGATTTCTTTTACATTAAGACCTAAGTCTTTTGTACCTTATTACGTACGGTATTATGTTCTTTGTAATGTAGAATAGAATAGAATAGAAAATCCTTTATTATCCTTAAGAAAGGATTTTGATTAATTCTACCCCCAAGTGGATAAAATAGGGGATGAAAGTTTCTACGAAACTTTGTCAATTTTAAACCGATTGGGCTGAGACTTTGCATGCATAAAGCTACTATAACTTAGGCATCCTAATAAAGGATTTTGATAAATTCCATCCCTAAGGGGATAAATTATCGCGAGCGAAGCCGCGGGCAAAAGCTAGTTCAATTATAACGTTGTTTGACAGCTGAATATTGCTTGTTACGAAACTGAAGCATATATCTATGTACCTGTATAGCCTGCATTCTATATGTGTTACAAACTTTTGTAGATCTGTGGACATATGTGTAGTGGCTGGTGTCCACAGATGTGTAGAATCAGGGTCTGCCGATCTGCTAAACATAAGACTGTGTACTTAGAGTACAATACTCTGTAATGTTGTAATACTCTATGGCAGGGATGTTATGGATATGAAATTTCGGATACGGATAGGTTTCGGATATAGGAATGATTATTATACCGGATACGAATAGAATAGAATAGAATAGAAAATCATTTCAAATAAACTTAATTTAAACACTTTTGAATAGTCATAACAATTTGTTTTTTATCTACCACTCGTTCGGAAAGCTGTCTCATCACAAGAAGAACGAGCAAGAAACTTGTGTTTACTTGTGTGATACGGATGCGGATATGAAATTATTTCGGTAACGGTTTTAATTTTTTTAAGGAATTTCAAAAGTAAAATACAAATAGCTAATAAAATGGTTACATAACGTGTCTCAATTAGGCATCGCTACTATCCGATATTATCCGAAACAATTATTTCGGATTCGGTTACGGTTACGAATATTTTTTATACGGATATCCGATAGTTTCGTTACGGTTACGGAGCTCCCTAACATCCCTGCTCTATGGTGCGGCGCGGTGTGCGAGCATGTTGTACACGAAGTTCCTCGTGAAATTGTGTCAATGTCTAATACTCATGTATTTATTTAACTAATGAATTGAACAAAGGTTATATTTTTTATGAGCCTTGCATTACTATGTTATTGTATATGTTGTATCTACGTCAGGGGTGAGCAACTCGCGGCCCGCGGGCTACGTGCGGCCCGGTAAACATGTTTATGCGGCCCGTCAAGCATTTCTATAATTGAATTTATTTTCTCGACTTTCTGCATTCAGTATATTGTTATAAAATTAATTATATAAAAATGACTACCATTTTTATACCATATATATTACCATGCTAAAACTCGTCGCAAACAATTTTGGTAATGAGTTACTCATTTGACTATTTCTTCAAACATGCAATACGAATGTTTACATTAAAAATTGCGTAGAAAATCTTTACTTTTTTTAATGTTTGTTATATATTAAGTTTTATACATTACGAGTTACTCGCCCCGGCTTCGCACGGGTGTACATGTATTATATATATAAACCTTCTTGAATCACTATCTATTAAAAAAAACCGCCACAAAATCCGTTGCGTAGTTTTAAAGATTTAAGCATACTTAGGGACGGACAGACAGCGACAGCGACTTTGTTTTATACTATGTAATGATGATAATGATACTACATGTGCGGGCCGCGAAACTTTCTAAAATTTAAATTGCCCCGTTGATTGAAAGGTTGCTCAGCCCTGATGTACGTTATTATAGCTAGTCAGCTAGTCATGGTGTTGTTATGGTGTGGTAGGTATAGAGCGGTGTTTCCCAATTAGTGGTACGCGTACCCCCAGGGGTACGTGAAGTTGCATCAAGGGGTACATGCGGCTATCAGTAAAACAAACACACACACTCACAAACTTTCACATTTATAATATTAGCGTGATTGCTACAATAAGGGGTACGCGAGGATTTAGGTCTTTTTTGAAGTGGTATGCAGCAAAAACTAATTGGGAACCACTAGCATAGAGGCAGGGACGGATCTACCTAAGGGCTTTTTGGGCTGCAGCCTAGGGCCCCGGATACAAAGGGCCCCCCAGTCCCCTCTGAAACAATATTTAGAATATAGAAATATCTAGAATGTCAAAAAACCTATCATAAGGTTGGCAATATTGAGATCAATCAACCCATGCAAGTGCGCGCTTATCGAAAGGAACGGGGAATCTCTGGTCGCTTGTTTTTGGTCGGTGTTTTTTTTTTTTGTTGAGTAATATAATTAGGTAGGCCCCTAAGTAGATTTAGCCCAGGGCCCCACAATCCCACAATCCCACGATCCGCCCCTGCATAGAGGACGCGTACCCGCACACTGCCGCCGCCTCACTGCCATACTCGTGCATTTTATAGACTTTAAGTTAAGACTGATTTACTTTCCACTTTGTTTACTTACGCCCACACGTCTCTACACCACTTAATTTAAGTTGTAACTTAGTACAAATGATTTAGTGAGTAATGTGTTATTTTCATAATAATAATTTTATTGTTATTTTTAACGGAGTCTCGATATAGTTTAGTTTGTCGACTGATTCTTCTAGATTTAGGACTAACCACGCGCCGGCTGTACCCCAGATTATGTACAATCAGTACAGGCTCGTTTAGTGACGGTAATGGAATGGTGCACCCGCTACCGTTAACGGTATACGCTGGCGGGGCACCAGTGGAGGATGATAAGAACATGAGTTCAGATCGTGACAAATTGACGAAGAATTTATCACGATGGTATCCAGGAGGTACCGCGTGGAGGTCAACCTGATATGGTACATTACTAGCAATGGTGCTATTAGTCCCATTAAGATTTAACCACCCTTAAACAGTTATGGCCAGTTGACGCACCGCCACAATGTCACTCCTCAGTGAACATGGCCAGCGGGGGAATAGGGGATTGTTAGTAATGTGATCTGATAACCCCCTTGTTAGCAATATTCCCCTAGAAAACCATAGTATTTAATTGTTGGTGAATTTGTCATTATGTGCTAACTGACCTGACCTCACACTCATCTTGTCCTCTTCCACTGGTGCCCCGCCAGCGTGTACCGTTAGCGCAATCGGGTGTACCCTTTCATTATAATCAAATAAAAAAACATAGCCACCATGTAATGCTACACTTATTGGCCCGGCATATTACTGTATTACCATATATGTACTCCTATGAGTAGTAGTACACGCTCAGGGAGGTGATATATTATTAAATAAATAATTCATATGTATTACTATATGCTATTGTACTATTGGTATTTATTGTAACACTAGCTGTACCCGCGACTTCGTTCGCGCAGCGCACGCAACGAAAGCCCTCAAATATGGATAATTTTCCCCGTTATTGCAACTTTTTTCACCGATACTTCGCTTCTATTGGTCGTAGCGTAATGTTATATAGCTTAAAGCCTTCCTCGATAAATGGACTATCCAATACAAAAAGAATTTTTCAAGTCGGTAGTTCCTAAGATTAGCGCGTACAAACAAACAAACAGTCTTCAGCTTTATAGTAATAGCATATTTATTTATGTATCTCAAGAATTTAATATATAAATACCCATTGACATTGGTAGTTCTGTTGTATTTGATATTATCACCTCCTGGCAAATTGATTTGTTTCCAAACAAGGCATTCCTTAAAAAAAACATATCGGATTGTGTTATCGTGCATATTATAGATGTGCGGCCGGCGTGTTAGTTTATTGATGTGCTTTTGTATCGTAATGAATAAGTTTAAATGTTTATAACAGCGGACTGCGACGTAAGCTCTTTCCCTATATGTTCTCGTACTCCAACCGGCAGTAAATATATATAAAAAAATAATAAATAGAAAAAAACTGCAGCTGTTACATAGTACTTGCAGAATCATATGTTGGGGATATACTAAAGTGGACTGATATTTTAAATAATTGAAAAATTATCATTTTGACAATAGGATAGTATTACCCAATATGTAAACAGAAATGTATAGAATTTTTGGAAAGGGGTAAATTTGGAATGTTCTGCTTACCCCATTTGGGATTATACCCATCTAAGCAGACAATGT